TGGGGCAGCGGAGTCGCGCCTGCAGGGCCCCCGCGTGCTCCTCGCCGCCTCAGGCTCTGCCGAGGCCCCGCGCGCGCCGCTGGCCGCCCACAGTTGCCGCCTTCAAGTGTCTTTCTCCCCGCGCGGCCCCGCCGGCGCGCGCGCCCTTCCCCTCGCCGTCTGCGGACCGCTGCGGCGTGCGCGGGGCCGCCCCCAGTAAACACTGAGGTGCCCGCCTGGGCTGCGGCCGGGCCACGCCCAGTGCTCGGCGCCGCGTCACCCGTTGCTGGGCAGAGAAGTCGGTATTTGCATCTCCCAATCCCTGGCCGGCGGGGCGGGGCGGTCTCGCGCCTGGGATGGGGGTAGACGGGATGAGAAAGGTTTCTTTTCTTGGTTGGAGGGGAGGTGGGGAGACGTAGGGCGCTACCCATCTGGCCCTTAAAGCGTGTTTCTGCCATTTTAGCTAATCAGCACCTGCCGCCAGGTAGGACTTCTTCCCTGTCTCTTTTGGGGGACCAAGGCTCAGCAAAGCTCCAGGGGTCAGACTCACCTTGCCATACACAGATGGAGCCCTTCCCCTGCCACGCAGGATCCAGCCACACACAGGCTTAACTCATGTTTTTGGACCCAAGGACTGAATTTTGAACATCTGGTTTACGGTGCTACAGGATCCCCTAGGAAAGAGCACGCTTTCCAAAGGCAAGCCGCGGGAACACGCAGCGGCCCCAGAGTCGTCGCGTCCGAGCGCAGCAGCCTCGGGCAGGAATGCGCGGGTACCGCGTCCTGGATCTCGCAGCGCGCGCCTGCGGAAGGTGGGCACCTCGCCCGGCCCAGGGCGGAGCCTTGCTAGAGGCGTGGCCGGTCCTCAGCCTGGCGGCGCGTGGCGGGGAGAGGCCCCGAGCTCCCCGCTCACCACGTGTGAGCCAGTTGTGGCACCACCCGGCAAGTGCAGCCCCGGGGGAGGTCACCTTCACGGCAAAGGAGGCCGGGGTGGTGGGAGGGGATGTGGAGCCCTCGCCCCTCGGTGCCTGAGTTTGGAAGGGTCAGGATCAGGGTCTGGAACTTGGCTCCCCTAGGGCGGAGCACGGTTCGGGGTACCGAGAGCGTAGAAGACCCCACTCTACTCTGGGCGAAGCGCTCGCTGACAGACTGGAAGGTGGAGAGAACGCCCGCCGAGGTGGGGCTGCGGGGGGTGGGGTTGGGGATGGAGCATCCCTGGCAGGAGGGCGAGCTCTAAAGGGCGCCGGCCCTGGGAAGGCTTTCGCTCAGCTCCCGCCCACGGCTCGCTGCATCTCATTGGAAGTTGGAAATCACTGCATTTTTAATCTTCCCAACTGCGGCCTGGCGCTTCTTTGTTCGGTGAAGATAGACTTAAGCGTTCACATCCCAGCGTCTCCTTTTGCTTATCTTTAAGTGCAAATAACTGCAAGTTTTCCCTCGTGCAGTGGTTTTATGGATTAAGTGGGATAATGTATGTAAACACGTTGCTGATGCCTAGTAAAAGTTACCCGGGATTAGATTCCCCAGTAGTTAACACGGTTATCAGCAATGCACAGATGCCAGCTTCATGAGAAAAACATTTAGCGGGGTTGGGATGACTTTAACATTTCGAAAAGGGTATCAACGTGGTAATTGGGGGTGGAGCGGATGCCCCATACCTGGAGTGGTGTCTCATGCCTGGAATTATAGCAGCACTCAGGCTGGGGCAGAAAGATTGCCACCAATCCGGGGCCAGCCTGGGATACATAGTTTGAAGCCAACATGGGCTCTAGCGTGAAATCTGTCTAAAAGAAAAAAAAAGTGGCGCTCACCTTTAATCCCAGCAGGGGAATCTCTTCACTTCCAGGCCAACCAGTCCTACATAGTGAGATCTCGTCTTAAAATTTTAATACTATTACAATTTGATAGTTATATTATTTAAAGTGATGGTAGGGAGCCAGTGAGATGGCTCAAGCAGGCCTGACTTGCCTCCAAGCCTGACAACCTGAGTGGAGTATCTGGACCCCAGAGAAGGTAAGAAGAGAGCAGGCTCCCACAAATTGCCCTCTGACCTCCACACATGTGCCCATTCACTCCCCGCCCCCAGGCACACAGATTAGGTAGATTTATAAAAAGATAGCAGATTCATAAAAAGATAGGTTCATTTTCTTAAAGGCTTTTGACCCCGTGGCTTCCTCTATCATTAGGTCAGTGTTCTTGAATCATTCCTTGAATCATTTCTTGGTTAGAAAAAAAAAGATCCGCCTGTTATTCCACCAACCTTCCCTCTTCCACCTCTGTGTGCATTCATTCAATAAACATTTATTAATATCACTCTGTAGGTAGGCCCAGTGGTGGGTGCTGCTTACCTGTGGATGTCTGTCAGAGTCTGGTCCTCTAGAAAAGAAATCAGGCTGCTTTCCCCCAGTACAGGTGTCAGGACACAGACAGGATGGCATGAGAACTCTATGGAGAGAAACATCATCATTCATTTGTTCCCTCCCTTTTATCTCAAGAAATGGTTATGGTAGTATGTGACCCTTTCTAAATTCCTAGATAAGAGGACATTTCATTGTGCCAGGCATTGAGCATCAAGCCAGGGCTACTGGGTTACAGAGGTGACTAAAGCAGATCTGGCTCCTCCTCTCTTACTTTACATTTATTTTATGTGTGTACATGCGGAAGTCCAAGGACAACTAGTGGCAGCCAGTCATCATATGGGTCTGGGGATCCCACTCAGTTTGTCAGGATTGGTGGCAAGCATCTTTACCTGCTGAGACATTTTACCAGCTGCCGCTCCTCCTCTTCCCTTTTCCTTCCTTCCTTCCTTCCTTCCTTCCTTCCTTCCTTCCTTCTTTCCTTCCTTCCCTCCCTCCCTCTCTCCCTCCCTCCCTCCTCTTTCTTCTTGCCTGTCTGCCCTCCCTTTCTATTTTTTTAATGGCTTTTCTTTTTTTTTTTTTTTTAATATTTCTGAAGCAGGGTCTCCCTGTAAGCCCCAGCTGTCCTGGAACTCACTATGTAGACCAGGCAGGCCTTGAACTCAGAGATCCGCCTGCCTCTGCCTCCCAAGTGCTGGGACTACAGGTGTGCAACACCACGCCGGGCTTTAATGGCCTTTTTGAGACAGGGCATCCCTGTAGCCCCAGCTGGCCTGGAACTCACTTTCTAGACCAGACTGACCTTGAACAGAGATCCACCTGACTCTGCCTTCCAAGTCAGATTAAAGGTATGTACCACCATGCCTGACTAGTCTTTCCTTTGGAGACAGGATCTCCCTGCAGCCCCAGCTGGTCTGATGTAGACCAGGCTCGCCTCAATCTCAGCTCTCCAATAGCCTCTGCCTCTGGCCTGCTGGGATTAAAGATACGTGCCTCCACTACTCCCAGCCCCCACCAGCCTTCTTAAAGAGCAATTGGAAGAACAGAAAAAGAGCAGGTAAACAAAACAAATAAGGTACTTTCAAATAGTTGTGAGTGCTACAGAAGCATTTGAGACAGAGTGTGCATAGGAACTGGGTGAGTGTTGGGGCGGGCTGGAGCTGGGGCAGTTTGGTGATTGAACCTTAGATGCAAAAGTAGGGTGTTCTCCAGGTAGTAAAAGCCAGGAAAGTTTTAGTTGTAGGGTAAAATAATGAGAGCTGTGCTTTGGGGAGATTAAGAATTTTCTTTTAGGATTTAAAACAAATTTTTTAGATTTTTTTTTTTTTTTTTTTTTTTTTTTTTTTTTTAAAAAAAAATTTTTTATATATTTTTTTTTTTTTTTAAAAAAAAATTTTTTAATTTTTTTTTTTTTTTGAAACAGGTCTCCCTGTAGTTCCAGGTATCCTGGAACTCACTATGTAGACCAGGCTGCCCTTGAACTCACAGCGAGCCACCTGTCTCTGCTACCATGCCCAGCTAGATTTTTTTAGTATGCATATAAATGTTTTGCCTGCATGTATATTTGGTATACCATGTGTGCCAGGTGCCCTCAGAAGCCAGAAGAGGGCATCAGATCACCTGGAACTTGAATTATAGGCAGTTGTAAGCGGCCTTGTGGGTGCTAGGAACCAAAACCAGGTCCTCTATGTGAGCTCTTAACTATTGAGCCATCTCTCCAGTCTATTTTGTTGTTTGAGACAAGGTCTCCCTGTAGCTCCAGCTGGCCTGGAACTCACAATGTAGATGAGGCTGGCCTCAATTTCACCCAGACGCACCTGCCTTTGCCTTCAAGTGCTGGGATTAAAGGTGTGCACCACCATACCCAGCCAGTCTCTTAAAAAAAAAAAATTGTGTATATTTGTGTGTCTGCATGTAGGTAGTGAGTGCAGGTACCTGTGGAGGTCAGCGGAGGGTGTCAAATCCCTTGGAGCTGGAATTACAGGTGGTTGTGAGCAGCCTGATGTAGATGCTTGGAACTGAATTCCAGTCCTCTGCAAGAGCAGTAGGAGCCCTTAACCACTGACCCATCTCTCCAACCCCAAGATGGAGAATTTTCATGTGGATGAATTAGAGAAGGGCAGTTTGGGGAATTTAGTTTTGCTTCAGAGTTTGACTGTGCTGCCCAGGCTTGTCTTAAACTTGTGAGCTCAAGTGATCCTTCCACCTTAGCCTCCCAGTATTGGGGCTGTGTTTTACTGGGCCTGGCATGGAGGAGGGAGATTTGGAGGAGGAAAGATCAGCTGGAAGTTCTGTTGTGTTTCAAAAATATGCCCACAGACTCTTTCATATTTCTGACGTCTCCATTCTTCCAGGTAAGGGTGAGCTGTACTTAGTAACTTGTTTCTAATTCATAGACTGTAGAAACGATAGTATGAGATAT